ACGGCCAGAACACCATGGACATCAAGATGAAGACCTCCGAGAAAGAGCCCGACCCCTTCTCCTTCACCATCGGCAGATCACACAAAGGTGAGAGCCAGCAGATCACAATATACGTAAAGTATATGTCCAGTGTGTGCACTTTATGGCCGTGCATATTTGCTGAGCTTGAATAAACGCAAGATTGTAATTTTAACAAGCACTGGAGTAGTGATGAAAAAATGGAATTATAGTAATTAGTTTTAATTATTTCTTTATATATTATATATAAAGTATATGCAAATCTGATATGTAAATAATTTAATTGATTTCATTTCAGTTTATAATTAATTTATCATTTATGTTTAAATGATAACTTATGTTGCAATTTGACTTGGACCTCTTTTTTTATTTATATTTTTAATTACAAATATCATACGTAAATATAGTAAAATTATTTAATTTATATGCATTTATATATTTCAATTTTTGTTTATAATTTATATTTTAAAAATGCAATGAAATTTTATTTCTTTACATAACATGTCTTTATATATGAAGTATATACAAATATTATTTGTGAATATATTTAAATGATTTCATTTTAATTTATAATTAATTATAAATTTTAATTTAAAAAATGTTATGTCTTTTTAGGTCTTTAGATGTTGGGTGAAATTTGACCTGGAGTTGTTTTTAGATACAAAGTACATGCAAATATATTAAAAATATTGAATTTGTGTTTCATTTAAATGTATAATTAATTTATCATGCCTATTTTAAAAATGAATAATATTTTATTTCTTTAGATTCTGGGGTGAAATTTGACCTGGACATATTTTTATAGATTAAGTATATGCAAATATATATGTAAATATATACATTTATTCATAATTTAGAATTGATATTTTATTGATTTTTTTAGATTCTGAACGGAGATCTGATCTGGATGTGTTTGTGTGAGATTAACACTGTTGTTTGTCTCTCTCTTTCAGCGCTAATCATTGCTAAAGGTGTAAAAGATGCTCACGGAGGCAAAGTCAATCCCCCCGTCTTTGACATGACCGCATACCTCAGGAAGATGAACATGTGAACAAGCCCCGCCCCCTGCTCTACTGACTCCGCCCACTTCACCTGTCGACCTGATCTCCATTCATAAAGCCCGAAGAACCGCTCCACGATCAACCGAACATGTGCTTGAGAAGCCTCTCATCTTCATCATCATCATCCTCATCTCGGTTTAAACATTCCAGGAGTCTGAGATCTCGGTTTCTTCTCCGGTCAGGCCGTGGAACGCAAGCTCCAGTTAATATCAAACTCATTCATTGGTTTTGTCACGAATTAATTGATTGATTTACGGTTCTGTAGTATTTTCTGTGTTTTGGACGGGCGGAGCGTCCAGTCATTTGTTTGTATGATTGTCTGTGTGAAATCCTGCTGAACAAAACCGAGAAATCTGACTGTTAGATGCCAAATAAAGAGAGAGTGAGTTTGTACGGAGCAGCTCCTGTCTGTGTCTTCATGGAGGCGTGATGTGCTTTCAGAGCGATAAAGGTCACAGTACATCACAATATCATTACTGGTGAAATTACATCAAAACTGAGTTCACTTTCAATTTCTCTTGTGCAGATCGCTTCATATTAAATATTAAAGATATTTTTAATAGTTTTAGTTTTCAGTTGAGGTTAACAACCCCGCTTTAAACACGCACACATCGTCTTAATCACCGCACTCCACTCGAGAGCTCATTAGAATATTCAGTGGCTGATGCGTGCGAATGTCTCGAATGTTTTACTCTTTCTCTTCTAGTAAAGGTTTTGCATTCTCAGCACACTAGAATGAACGAGACGCACCTTCTTCGGGACACTTGTTTGAACTCAGAGATTCATGAAGCAGCAGCAGAATGATTGCTGATTGTCATTTTCGACCCAAACTGTCACAGTCAATTCAAGGCAACAATTAACGTAAGGATGTGTTTATCTGATTTGACAAGTTTCCATTAATACTGACTTTAATTCTCAACAGGACGGTTTAAAACACGTGGGTAAGAAATGATTGTGAACTTTCCACGAGTCGCTCACTGCTCTCGAAACAGAAGTGAAACTGATGAAAACAGGACAAATGTAGTGACATACGTGCACACCCTAACAAACACGACCGACACAATCCAACAAACACACTCGTTCATTTAGCAGACACGTTTATTTATCTCACTGTAAGGAGGCAGTAATTTGAGACTCCTGAGCACACACTGTTGTAAGAGAGTGCTGTAAGAGAGGAAACAGGAAGTTCTGCATGTGACACACACAGACATGAGATCTATGATAGAGACTGACGTGAAACACACACACACACACACTCACTCACAGACACAGACAC